TATATATATATATATATATATATATATATATATATATATATATATATATATATATTTTTTTTTTTTTTTTACATTTAACTCAGGATTAACATAATTTTTTACTTTAGTAAATCATACAAAACATTATATATATATATATATATATATATATCCGTTTTAGTTTTTTATTTCTCTTCCTCATAGATCATTTTTTAAAATTCATTGTTTATTGGTTTTATTAAACATAAAACCAAAGCAAAAGCAGGATGAACATACAAACAAAACAAAAACAGATTACAGTATACACAAGTATAATAACAAAAGTCATAAAAAATCAATAAACGGTAACAAATTACAACAACACTTATTATGAAAACACATCTGAGGTGGTCAGAGGTTTATTAGAGGCATCCATATTTTTTGCAAGACATCCCCCTGGTTTTAGTTTAAATGTTTAAGGCCTTTGTTGGATCCAACAGAGAGTTTTTTGTAGATGTAGGATCAAGTGTCTTCAATTCAGTTGCATCTTTCTTCTTTAGCATTTAAATTTTTTTTTATGTTAAGAGGTTTGTCTTGTGTTTTGTTACGTACAGTTGGAGTCAGAATTATTAACCCCCCTTTGAAATTTGTTTTCTTTTTTTAATTATTTCCCAAATGATGTTTAACAGAGCAAGGAAATTTTCACAGTATGTCTGATAATATTTTTTCGGTCACACTTTACAATAAGGATCATTAGTTAATGTTAAATAATGCATTTACTAAGATGAACAAACAATGAACAATGCATTTACTACAGTATTTGTTCATGTTAGTTAACGTTAGTTAATGAAAATACAGTTGTTCTTTGTTAGTTCATGTTAACTCATGGTGCATTAACTAATGTTAACAAGCATGGACTTGAATTTTAATAATGCATTAGCAAATGTTCAATTATGATTAATAAATGCTGTACATGTGTTGTTCATGATTAGTTCATGTTAGTAAATGCATTAACTAATGAACCTTACTGTAAAGTGTTACCATTTTTTCTTCTTGAGAAAGTCTTATTTGTTTTATTTTGGCTAGAGTAAAAGCAGTTTAACATTTTTTTTAGCTCAATTTTAATGTCAAAATTATTAGCCCCTTTACAGAACAAACCATCGTTATACAGTAACTTGCCTAATTCCCCTAACCTGCCTAGTTACCCTAATTAACCTAGTTAAGCCTTTAAATGTCACTTTAAGCTGTATAGAAGTGACTTTATCTAGTAAAATATAGTTTACTGTCATCATGGCGAAGATGAAATAAATTAGAAATGAGTTATTAAAACTTATGTTTAGAAATGTGTTTTAAAAAATTCACTCCGTTAATCATAAATTGATTTGTTATTTTAATCAGTATTGGTTGTTTTCAGCCCTTTGGGCTGTGTTGTGTTGTAAAAAATGTGCTAAATACAGTAAATTAACCACTAGTGAAGATGAACAAAAATGATCGTAAAGACATGAGGGCGAGTAATAAATAACAGAATTTTCGCTTTTGGGTGCACTACACCTTTAATGTAGATTTTTCCACGAATTGCTCTTGAACTAACTTGAACTCGGAGCTTCTGATTAATAAGCCAATGTACAGCAGTCCTCAGTGTACATACATAACATTCATGTCAAACGAGGCAGTGTCAACAGAAACTTAAGGCACTATAACAGTATTAGTTTATCTAATCGATGTTTTATGTTTGTTCCCTCCCTTTGCCAACAATGTGTCGTGTCTCATAAGGAAGCGCTCGGCCATTTTCTGAAGAACAGCTGTTTCTTCTGGAGCGTCAACACTTTCGTTTGCGGTGCCACTAAAAGGCGGAGCCATGATCTCGCTTCACATGCACATCAAAAAAGCTGATGTTTGCCTTTGGTGGAACTTTTTTTGTGCTGCAGAGAGATGTGTTTGATGGCTTGGCCTGCTCTGAGTATCAGCAAATTATGATATTTGCTGTTGATTGAATGATGATTTACAAAGGAGTGCCTAAATTTACTTGCCGTCTGATGAGTTGCCAGCCTTCTAATTATACAATGGCTGATAAATAAGATCCTGTCAATAAATACTAATAGATTTTATTATCAAATTAAGAATTTTTATGTTTAAATGTCTTTAAATAAATAAAAAAAGTTTTGCAATTCAATGTCGTTATTATATTTTTATGTTTTTGGAGTTTTTTTTTTACTTCATCATATTATTTTTCAATTGTGTTTGTAATAATAATATTAAATATTTTTATTTAATAATTAATTTTATTCCTAATAAAACTTTGTAATTTTTTTGCAAGACAATCATTCATTCATTTTCCTTTGGCTTAGCCTCTGATTCATCAGGGGTCGCCACAGCGGAATGAATCGCCAACTTTTCCGGCATATGTTTTACACACCGGATGTCCTTCCACCCGCAACCCAGTACTGGGAAACACCCATAAACTCTTGCATTCACACATACACTAATACACTGCGGCCAATTTAGTTAACCCAATTTCCTAATAACGCAGGTTTTTAGACTGTGGAGGAAACCGGACCACCTGGAGGAAACCCACGCCAACACGGGGAGAACATGGAAACTCCAAACAGAAATGCCAACTGACCCAGACAGAACTCGAACCAGCGACCTTCTTGCTGTGAGGCCACCGTGCTGCCACAACACATGCAGGTCTATTTAATTACATAAATCTATCAGAAATAATAGGTTATAAATAATATTTATTTTATTTTCATAGCCACCAAGATTTGTTTCTAAAGTGCTTAAGGTTTTAAAATGATAGTTAAACCCCCAGTGTGAAAACATACTTAAGAATGTTAATACTGTATGACTTCCATAGTATTTTTTAAATTCCCATTATGGATGTTAATGGCTGCTTTTTTTTCCCCCAACATTCTTCAAGCCTTTAGTTTTGGAGGTCAACTCCTCAACTATGCTTTTAAGCAGAGTGCGAATTATACATTGATGATCTGAGGGGTCAACTTTTTCAGCAGTGTTAGTTTTTGTAATACGTGCTTCAGTGGATCAAATGTATGCATTTATTTAAATGACATCTAATTTATTAATAGATTGTATTTACGTTTGCTGTGTTTTGTGGGATATTTGGTGTATTCTGACCTACAGTATCAGATTAGCTACTTCTAAGGTTATTGTTAGTCAAACTATGCATCTAATTTGACTTTACTTTTAGGCTGTATGTAGAAACAAACGGTTATTTTATGAGTAAACAGTCTTGTGAACACTTGCGTTGTCTATTAGTGCTCTAGATCTGTCAGTTTCAGACTATTGAATGACTTTTTTCCCGCTGACTAATTGGCATGGTTATGCCTTTACAGTGGTATGAACCATTATAGGGGTGGTCAAATGAAAATTTATATTACTCATTTGATTGTTTATTCATTCATTCATTCACTGTCTTTCAGCTTAGTCCCTTTATTCATCAGGGGTCACCACATATTCCAGCATATGTTTTACACAGCAGAAGCTTATCCAGCTGCAACCCAGTACTGGGAAACATCCATACACCCTGCTATTAAGTTGATGGCCTTCTGTCAATGGATGCAGATCCATTTATTGACGAGTATGTGACAGATATTTATTGACGAGTATCTAAAGGCAAGTATAGTAATGAAAACAAGCTAACCTGTAATGAAAAGGTGTATAATGATTAGGACTGGGAGATATAAATTAAACACAGATTTTAACGTCATTCATTATAACAACACATGACAAGTCACGTTTAATAAAAACTAATCACATGTCTCTCATTCTGAACTAGGGATGCTCATTTCGGTTAATTTTCCCAACTGACAACTGCCGCTCATTAACTGAATATCAACAGATCAGATTAATAATGCAATGTAATTTGTATATACTGCCATATATCAGATTTGTATATGGGAACAGCCATGTTTTACTGTCGCATCAGACATTTTACATACAAACCATTGTGATGCAGCATTTGTGATGTTTTAATCATTTCTATATATTGCACAGCTCTTTAGTAGACACAGGTGAGTAATATTTGAGCTGATTTACTAGAAACAGGAATTGAAGTTTAGAAAGATGGACTTGAGTCTAAGGAACTTGCCAGTAAAGATGTAAGTGTTACAGGCTGTCAACAGTGTTGTGTATACTGTGTAAACATGAAAACGTTTCATTTTTGGAGGAACTATTCATTCTAAAGTTCTCAAACATGAGCAAATTTGAAGAAATACCCATAAACAGATTTTTAAAGGGAATATTCCCAAAATTTTCAACCCAGGCTCATTCTGAAAGTGCCAAATACGTCCCAGGAGCTACGTTTTTTTTTTTTTTTAGCAGTTTTTGTTTTCGCGAATCCACCAGAGGCCACTGTGTGCTCTTCTTCAGATCTCAAATTTCTCTCCTGTCCACTGACTGAATGACTGACTGACTGACTAACTGACAAATCAACTGCCCTTCCCTTTCCCTAAACACAACCAATAGTGTTTTCAATCACAAATTGACCCGCCCACCCACTTCCCTAAACCCAAACGACAATTTTAAAAAGCAATCCAGAAAAACAAAAGCCCTCTCCTGATTTTTTTACCAAGTTTTCAGATTTTACCACATTCTCACACTGTTATTTACTTGTTTATTTTATTATTTGGCTTCTGTATTTGTCTTAGCCACTTTCTGGAACAGTTTTTTTGTCAGATTCAAACCACGTCGTTGTGGTCAACTCCTCTCTGTGTCTCAAGTCTGCCAATGAACATGGCAAGCTACTGGATCAAATTGGTAACAGAGGGAACGCAGTGCATACAGAGGTAAGTGGTCAGCTGGTAAGTGGAAAAATAAACGGCGTCATACCGCCCCGTAGCATTCATTTTAAAGACAAAATGCAGCCATACGTACCTCTGGCTACATAATTTGTGATCTCCAGAAACAAATATAGGGATATGTTTTTAGAATGAGCCTATTTTTGAAAATTTACAAGTTCCAAACCTTTACACATTTCTTTCTTCTGTTGAACACTAAAGAAGATACTTTGAAGAAACCTGGAAACCTGTAACCATTGACCTCCATATTTGTTTTTCCTACTATTACGTAAGTCAATGGCTTCAGGTTTTCAGCTTTCCTCAAAATATCTTCCTTTGTGTTCAGCAGAATAACGAAACTCTAAAAGTAAACCACCTGAAGGCGAGTAAATCATGAGTAAACATTCATTTTTGGGTGAACTATCCATCTACATGGGTCAACATGAGGTCAAAAAGTTGCGCATTTGAAGAAATACCCATAAATAGTTATGGATGACATCACATTCCTGACAAGACAAAAATCTTTACCAAGAAGGATCTGGATATAAACGCTGGCAGATGGTTTATGATCAGTTTGTTTGAATTGACTGAAGCACAGCTGGCATTCAGGAGCTTGAGACACACCTGTGTACCTGCCAAGATGCTGGACGTCAAATGATCTTCATCACAGACAGGATCTTCACACTCACACGCAAACATTTTCAGGCATCCTGCCAAGAAACAGAAAGCTTAATAATGGAAAATGTGATTCATTCGATGTTTTTATGATCACTCGAGGCGCACAGGACATCATTAAAGAATTATTTACACAAGACAATGTTTTAACCATTAGTCTTCATCTCGTTCTCCAAATCAACTGCTAAATGGTGTATTAATCTTGTACTGTGTATTTATTTTGCAGGTTTTAGTATGTTTTACTAATCCTCCGTCATACAAGCACACAGAAGCTGTAAATTATTCACACCCTGCCGTAAATATAATATTCACTAAATAAAGTTTATTAAACGTTTCTTCAAACATCGTTCTGAGATGCTGAGGAACTGCCGCCCTCACTCAGTCACTGACACACACACACACACACACACACACACACACACACACCCACACACACACCAATGTCACCAGTGGACTTTTGTAATACCATTTTTTTCTGTCACTTTGACCATAGATGACTGGCAGACCCACCCTGCTGGGTGGGGAGAGAAAGGTGAATGATAAACGATATAAAAGGGGGCATTAAAAGACGTCCAGCACTACTGAAGCTTTACCTGTAGACTTCTCTCACCTCCCACCATGGAGTGGAGAACATCTACAGTCTGCATGCTGCTTCTGGCGCTTTCTGGTATTCAGGTCGATTCAAAAAAGGGTAAGAAATGACTACTTTAAGTGATTCTTGAGGAAGCCTCTTGTTTTATTTTGGATTTTGGATGTGGATTCCAGTTTGTATATGTATATAGTAGTACTATATTTGACTAAATTCAATTGGAATGTATATCGTTATGTTACTGCAATTAAACAACAATCCTAAAAATGACTTTGCAGCTTATATTGCATTAATTAATATTATTTTATTTTTAATTCTATTATTTTTATGTTCTATATTAGATATATTATAACTAAAATAATAGGTATCTCTTTATTTTGATGGTCTCTTTAATGCATTTTGTTGAATTTAAGTAAGTAAAGGTTTATTTATATAACACCTTTCACAGACATTAAGTCACAAAGTGCTTTACAATAAGAGAAAACCAGAAAACAGGTAAAAGAACACATCAATAAAAGAAAACATATTAAAAACAAGTCCAATCCAGAAACACTAATACTGTTCATTAAAAGCTTGACCAAAAAGACGTCGTTTTAAAAAGTTCAACTGATCCCAGAGTTCTCAGTGCTATAGAGAGAGAGTTCCAGAGCCTTTGGGCCACAACACAGAAGGCACGGTCACCTTTAGTCTTAAGACGAGTTCTGGGAATGGCTAAAAGGTCTTTGCCAGAAGACCTCAGAGACCGGCTATAAGTGACTGCGTAAAAGACCTCGAATATAAAGGGGTGCTTGACCATGCAGAGCGCTATATGTTATTACAAGAATCTTAAAATTTACTCTAAAACTAATAGGAAGCCAGTCAAGTGCCTCTGCACAACTTGCGATCGATCCATAGATGATTTGTTCAGAAAACTGAACTGAACATTACAATAATTAAACCGATTTAAGTTACATTGCATCTACATTAAAACTAACTCTCATTAGATTATAAGTAGACTGTTAGGTTGGGGTTCAGGTTAGTGAAAGTTGATATGTACTTGCAAAGTTTCTTATAGACACTTAAATGTCTGTTAAAGGAGCAGACAGTCTACTTATACTCAAATGAGAAGTAATTGGCATGTAGTTGCAATGAAAATTTTAGTCAACAAAATGTACAATAGGGACCATCAAAATAAAGTCTTACCATATATTATTTATATTATATTATTTATTATTTTATAGTATCTTTGTTAGTTTTAAATATATGGTTGTCTAATATTGTATTTTAGAGCGTTTGGAGAACAGCCAAAAGTAACGTTCCCATAATGTTTGTGGAATGACAAAATGGAAAGTTTCCTTTAAAATCAAATTAAAAATAACTGTGAATTTTAAGATTCATAATTCATAAGAATTTACATTGCATTTTTAATTGGTGCACTCCTCAAAATGAAAAGATTTTAATTGGCATCTTGGTCACACTTTATTTTGATAGTCTACATGCCAACCAATTCTCATTAGACTATAAGTAGACTGTTAGGTTGGGGTTAGGGTTAGTGTAAGTTGACATGTACTTGCAAAGTTTCTTTTAGTCAGTTAAATGTCTGTTTAAGGAGCAGTATCAGCAGATATTAAGCAGACAGCCTACTAATACTCAAATGGACCATCAGAATAGTGTTACCGGCATCTTTGTTTCCAAATTTTAACATCCATAAAACAGAAAGAGTATAAAATGGAAAATGTTTTATTGTACAGTAGATTATTATAGAGATTTACTCATTTTTTGCTCACCCTTAATGCTGTCAAACCTTTAGGAGTTTCTTTATTCTGCTGAACGCAAAGATATTTTGAAGAAAGATGAAATGTATAGGAAAAACAAATACTAAAGAAGACAATGGTTACAGGTGTTCAAAATACCTTCCTATATGTTTAACGGATTAAAGTAACTCAAAAAGGTTTGAAATAAGTAAAGCTATTTGTAAACAAAGATAGGATACTCAATTTTGTGTGAACTATCCCTTTAAAGTTCACTACTTTGATTGTCTATGGAGTATTAGTAGGCTGTCTGCTCAATACCTGCTGATACCGCTCCTTCAACAGACATTTTACTGACTATAAGAAACTTTGCAAGTACATGTCAACCTTCACTAAATCCAACACCAACCTAACAGTCTACTTATAATCTAATAATAATTAGTTGACATGTAACTTACATTCAGCAAATGGACCATCAAAATAAAGAGACCAACCGTTACTTCCAAAACCCTCTTTGAAACCTCTAGTTTCGAAATATATTTCTTGAGGACCTTAATCATCGCTTTGTTGGTGCCATAACATCAGTTATCTAAGAAATAATAATAGGTGAATTTGTTTTATGTTAAAATAAATTTAAAAAAGAAACAGCAGAAAAAAAACAGGAACCAACTGTTGAAGATAGTAGGTCGTAGTTTCATCACTTGATGCTATCAGCTCCATTGATGACTTGCTTTAGAAGTTTCTAAATGTTGTCGATTGCGAAAAATGTTCCTTTACTCACGATGACTTGGAGGCCAGCTTGATCATCTTGCAGAAATGACCAATGTAAAAATCTGAAATAAACAAAAATGCATAACACTTTATTTTGATGGTCCATTTGAGTATTAGTAGGCTGTCTGCTTAATATCTGTTGATACTGCTCCTTTAACAGACATTTAACTGACTATAAGAAACTTTGCAAGTACAGTACATGTCAACTTACACTAATCCCAGCCTAACAGTCTACTTATAATGTAATGAGAATTAGTTGGCATGTAGATGCAATGTAACTTAAACTCAACATATGGACTATTAAAATAAAGTTTGACCCCAAAATGTACTTTTAGTTGATTAATACAACTTTTGCTAATGTGCTCCGAACACACTTAAATTTAAACTTTATGGGCTGTGGAAGACAAACATGCTCTAATTCATCTTGTTATTTTTGCAGTCTCTCCTAGTAATCATGTCAACAGCATCTGCAGCATGTGGGGAAACTTCCACTTCAAGACCTTCGATGGGGACGTCTATCAATTCCCAGGGATGTGCGAGTACAACCTGGTGTCTGACTGCCAAAGCCTCATTCGACAGTTTTCGATTTACGTGAAGAGGACTGAACGCAGCACTGGCCCAAAGATCAGCAGGGTCTCCATAACCATCAACGACATCGCCATTGAGTTGACCGAGAACCAAGTCAACGTCAATGAAGCAAAGTAAGATTGTGTAGAACCAAAACGGCTGTGTGTAAAATAGATTGTTCAATGTTGAATTTAAATCCTTTTCCTTTATTTAGAGTGACGCTGCCCGTCCATGTGTCAGGAATCCTTGTGGAAGAAAACACAATTTACACCAGACTCTATTCCAAAATGGGCATCACTGTCATGTGGAACAAAGATGATGCAGTCATGGTGAGTTTAGAAGTTTAAAGTGGGGCTAATATAAGATTAGAATCAACTTGAACGTCGTAAAGGGGGGAAAATAAGTTTTAACCACTTCACCATTTTTCTCAGAAAACATATTTTTTTAAAGGTGCTGTTGAGTTGAAATTTACCCCGGATGTTCGTGACACCCAGAGAAATCCATATATGCAAATAAAATAAATCTAATTAGTTTACAAATTAAGTTATGTGTAATAAAATGAAATAACGCAAGGGGAAAAAAAATGAACACATGAAGAAAGGGAGGTGTAGAAAGGCAGTGACAGCTGCTGAAATCTCTCAGTAGTTATTAAGTAATCCTCTGCCCTTTCTCATTGTAATTTACTAATCACTGCTTTAGTTCAACATCTACATTAGATGATAGATGATGAAGATGAAACCAGTGTAGACATTTCAGTAAGACAATAAACTCTCAAATGCTTTCAGAGAAAGAAAATCAAACTGGAGAATGGCCCAGCCAATCACCTGACTTGTATCAAATAAAAAACACAAAAAAAAAACTCAGATTTGATAGACGAGACCCGTAGAACCATCAAGATTTTTTACACTCTGTTAAAGTCTGTGAAACAAAATCACACCGGAGCAATGTGTGTGACGTTCTAAATTTGAGACTCCTCTTTAAGCTAACATCACCAAAAAAAAGCCTTTCTAAAGTATTAAATATGTTTCAGTAGTTCAGTACTTTCTCCTTCTGTCATTTCATTCTTATTACACAACTAATTTTTCAGATAGTTTTTTGTTTTGTTTTATAATTATGTTTGTATTCTGGGTTTTTAACAAAATCTGGTTCAGTTCCATGTTAACAACAACTCGTTTAGAAATATTATTCCCAGGAAAAGACATGCCGGGTTCAATGCTTAATTTTCCTGATGTATTATGGATATCAGTTCAGTTTATGTATAAAGCACATTTTAAAAGCTCATACAGATAGAAAAAGGTTTGTTTTTTTACTAGAGAAATCTGCACATTTGTGAACTAGGCTACTAGTTAATACTTGACAAAATAACCTTAGTGAATCTGAACATTCACTACTGTTAAAAACTAATTTTAAAAACTATGAGTATAAATATAATTTAACCCTTATGTGCTGTTAGGGATGTTTTCATCCACTCTGGGGTGATGTTGAGTCTTAATTTGGCCATAACTTTTTCTTTGTTTCAGCTAGCAGAAAATCTTATTTTGACATTTTGGGAAAATGCTTAGAATTTAAATAATAATCTGGGAAAAATGTCTACACTTTTGTTATGTTCGGGAACATTTTATTTGAATAAATCTGTCAAAACTACTAAATTGCGATTTTAAATCTTTAATTGCCAAATTCATAAATGATGTCACTGATTTGGTGAAAAAAATCACACAAAATGGCATATTTTCTATATATTGGACATGTGAAACAACATTTCCTTTGATTAATTGGTTTTAGCCCCCCCCAGTTTTCTGTTGGTGCCTTTTTTTCCCTATTGGCATCCATTATAACCACATTGTTTTGAATACAATATATGAAAACCATATAATCATGCATTTTTGATTGTTGGTGGTTTTCCCTACTGGGAAAAGGTCAAATGTGTAATTTTACTGGGCACCCTTAACCCTTTGGTTAGGCCTGTGCAAAAAAAAAGCTTAGTTTCTAGATTTTACAAGAGTATAAAAGTAAATTAAGTAACTTATTGTGTGTGTATGTGTGTTTGTGAGGGTGTGAGAGTGACCTTCTAAATCTAAATATGCATCTCAGCTCTCAGAACTACATGGAGTAAACAAAAACAAAGACTGTGTGTTGATGCATTATCAAATGTGCTTATAATGGAAGTCAATGGGGCAAAACAGCCACCCACAGTAAATTAAGGAGAAAAAATAAAAATCTAACAATGCGTCAAAGCCATTGTTGTTACTCATCATTGATGTGTCCAAGACTGTGATAAAAGGTAAAAACAAATCCAGTCCACAATTACTTTTTCTATTGAAAATAGGTCATTTTGTGTGTTTTTTTGTTTACAAATCAGTGACATAATTTGGGAATTTGGCACAAAATCCTTTAAATTTAGTAGTTTTGATCAGGACTGAGGTTGATTAACAGATTTATGCAAAGAATTTTGAAAAAAACTTTTATCTGATGCATTTTTACAGCAGTTTAATTCAGTGGATGTTTTCATCCCGAACATAACAAAAGGGTAGACAATTTGAACAGTGCACAATAGTTAAATGATTTTTGTCATGTGACCTACGGCGTCGTTTAGCTTTACTAGCATTCACAGAAACTATCGCTACTGCATGAGAGTGGAAATTGTCAATCGTTTTCACACTTCGAAAACTTTTCGCTTACTATGCGACTACTTTGGAACTTTAAGGGTTAAAAGAAAATTGTAAAAACACAGTTCTTGATATTTGAGCAAAGTTATTTGGAGATCAGAAATTATTGCAAAACATGACCGTGTTTACTTGACGTAAAACTAGTTTACACCACAGGAAACCAGTAACATTAAGAGGTCTTTCAAGAGAGTAGTGAATGATTTAGCATATTGTGCAAGACGCCGAAACATGTTAAGTCAAGTTCTATATAAGGCAATTTTGAGTGACACCCTGAAATGTCCTCATGAAGATAATACTTCAGTCTGTAAGTGGCATTCATCGGTATATACTTATGTTATTAATTCTCATAGCACTTTCACACAAGACTTCGACACCAATTTCATATTTTTGCTACTCACTTTGACAGTCAAGTCTAATCATTTAACCACAAACTACTGTGTGATGTTGTGATAGGTGGAACTGGACTCAAAGTATTCCAATCGCACTTGTGGATTGTGTGGTGATTTCAATGGCATTCCTGTTTATAATGAGTTTATTCAATCAGGTAAGTAGCTTTTTATAACCATTTTATAACCTTAATTTACATGTAAGCACAATTACAAAAGTATCAATAGTATCAATTCAAGCAGCATAAATATTCTTAATGCATTCTTAATCTTATAAGAAAAGATTGAGTGTCTGTATTTAATTTCATACAGGACGAACTGTTGGATACACTGAGTTTGGGAATATGCACAGAGTTCCCAACCCAACTCATCAATGCGAGGATCCATTTGAAAACGTGGATGAGCAAAATGTGGTGGACCAGTGTGAAAAATATGTAGGTTATAGTAAAAAAGTTCTCAATTCCACATTAAACTGTTGTGTTATGAAGCTAAAACCGTACAATGACTCTTTCACAACAGCGGGCAGACTGCGCAGACCTTTTGGAGGATGAAAAGTGGTCTTCTTGTAGCTGGGTTTTGGACCCTGAGGCTTATATTAAGGCATGTACAAATGATCTCTGCAACCGTCAACCTGAAGACGAAGACACCACTGCACTCTGTGCAACTCTAACTGAGTATTCACGACAGTGTTCACACGCTGGAGGAAATCCACCCGCATGGAGGACAGCAAAGTTCTGCAGTAAATACCATCAGAGTTCTGGCAAAAATCATCTGATTGTTTTCACATTTTTCTGAAATTTTTAAATATGACTCGTTTTCTCATGCAGATGTGCAGTGCCCCTACAATATGGTACATTCTGAGAGCGGCTCCCCCTGTATGGACACGTGCTCACACAAAGACACAAACGCACTGTGTGAGGAACACAACATCGATGGCTGCTTCTGCCCACCAGGTCAATACCACTGTCTATATGAGAAATATACACAGCATTTAGGAATAGACACAACCATTTAAATGTTTGGGGTCAGTAAGGTTTTTATAAGAGTTTAACAATACTTTAGTGTGTTGCATTAATCAAATACGTGACCCTAGATCAGGGGTTCCCAAACTTTTCAGCCTACAATCCCCAAAATAATCATTCCAGTGACTCGCAACCC